AGTCATCACAATAAGGCTGAGTCCACTTGGGAATGGGAGGATGTTATTCGCTCGCAGTTTCCTGAAATATTAGAAGAAAGTAAGAGCGAATTCCGAGGACGGAATTCCTTTTGTTAGGGGGGAAGAATGTAATACCCCTAATTTTAAAAACGATAGTCTCGGCATTTTTAATATTTATTGTATTGCATTTTTATTTATTTTATTGTCTTTATCGCATTTTTATTTATTTTATTATTTTTTTCATTTGTTTAATTGGTTATTTGAAATTTGAATTAAATTGGTTTTATGTGATTATTTGGTTTAATTATTGTTTACCTATGTGTCATGTGTTTTAAATTGAATTAAGTTGTCTTTTATTATTTAATTGGCATTTTATTGTTTAAGTGTTTTAAATTATTTAATTGGGTTTTTAATTGGAATTAATTAGTTAAGTGGATTTAATTATTTAATTGTTTTTTTTATTTAATTCTGTTTTAAGTTACAGTTAACTTTGGAGTTGGAATTTCACGTATAGGTAAGCCGTAACAGAGATAGTTTCATGGGCCGACTAGGTTTAGAATTAGGGCTCTGTCTCTGATTAAACATGGATTAGGGTTTATGTTTTTTACGCCTATATATATACGGTTATAATCTGTATCAAGGGTTGGAAAAAACCCTATTCACGTACCAAAGATACAGAGAGAGAAACAGAGAGCAGTTGTGGGAAAACAGAGTGAGGCTTAAGAGGAATTGTACAGAGAGGACCAAGGAGGTTAAGTAAGGATTAGAGACAGAGTTATAGGAAGCTTGGCGGCGTTCAGAATTGCCGGAAAACTTAGAGACGACACAGGGATTTCAAAATTGAAATCACAGGCAAGTTCTTATCTTCCTCCTTCTCTTTGGCTCGTGTTCTATGCACCTAGATAGTCTTTAGGGATTAACTAATTAGTAATTGAAACTTATGTGTTTAATGTATGCTTGTTGATGATTTGTTTGCATTGATTTCAAATCTGTTTACAGTTCGTGTATTGTTGCTCCCAGTTCTGTTCATTAAAGCATATTAAAATCTGTTGAGATTTTAGTTAAGATTCTTGCTTTTATCTTCTGTAAACAAACCCTGGGGATGTTAATGGGATGATATAAGACTCCTAAGATCAGTTTGTGAAGAGAAACAGAGAGGTTGGAATAGAATTATAGTTTCAGTTTTGTTCCTAACGCGGGTTAGTTCGGTAGCAAATTTAATCTTTGTAATTGATTTTAATTGTTGTTATCAAGCCATTGGGATGCTACTGGGTATTAATATGACACCTAAGTTTGGTTTTAAAAACTAATAGAGTGATAGGAATAGGCCGGAGAAGGAGCACAAAAGCTGAAACGACGCACCGGGGACTGAAGGCTCTCAAAGGAGGTGAGAGCCGGCTCCATAGAAGTGGGAGCCGGCTCCCACAACAAAGTAGAGCCGGCTCTAAGGAGTCCTAGAGCAGGCTCTAGGCTGGAAAAGAGCCTGCTTCAAAATTTGGAGCAGGCTCCCTTGTTATTTTTGATTTATTTTAAGTTTTTTTTTTTTAATTTTCTACGTACTATGTTCACTGTTGGAGCATGGAGACTATTTCAGTGAATTTGGAACTTTACAGAGGGATTAAGGAATGAATTTTGAGTGTTATTAAGACCCTAAATTGATTAAAGTTTAATTCTAAATTGTCGGGACAAACAGTGTAAAAATTAAGGCACTTCTTATGTTGTTAACAAATGGAAGTTGAATTAATTGTTGAATTAAATTTCAGCAATTTGATGGAATATAATGCGTTTATAAAATTTGTTTTAGAATGCATTCAAGTGCATGATAAGGTCATTTACTTATTAATTTTCATCTATGCATGCTTAGGAGGCTAGTTGCTGAATTATTAAATCGTTTCCTGCAACTATATGGTTAATGCTTGGATTTAAATTGCCGAAATATTAAACAATCTTCTGAAATTGTTTTAGCAATTTATTGGATAATAATAGGATTATTTAACCTATTCACATGCATGATGGAGTCTCTGACATATTAAATTTGGTTTATGCATGCTCTAGATGTTAGTTGTTGATTTGTTAAATCGTCTTCTGCAATTATATGGTTAAATGCTTGGATTTAAATTGCTGAAGCTTTAAATATTTTTTCTGCAATTGTTTGGATGGTGGTTTTTGGGTCTGTAAATTATTAAACTGTTATATATGTTGTAATTTACCTGGATATGGAGGATTGTATGTACCGGTATGGGACGGTGACATACTAGGGACGGTTTAGTTCAAAACGCATAAACCTAACCTAATGGATTAATGGAATGGATTGAAAGTTATCGAATCCTAATTGTGACTAAGTCAGACCAGCTGTAACCAAGTTGGATGACTTCCTGGATTAACGGATGGTAGTTAAGTCATATCCACTGAATAAGTTGAGTGACTAACTAGTTGGTTTATTGTAGGTCAGTTTAATAAATAGTTGAACTGCTTACTCTGGATTTGGACGGACTTTATATATATGTTTATGGTACCACGAGTTGAGCTTGAGTCTCAGACTCGTTGGTTAGGGTGCGTATATGCAGTGGATGCGTAGCTGGTTATAATAGGTTGAGGTGTACCCTGTTAGGTCTAGGTACTCATGCCCACCTTTGGGTGCGTATTCGCATGTTGCCTTCTATTCAGGTTGAGACCCCTATTATAGACTAGTGAATGTCCCTTAGTGTGGATATATTTATACGTATGGACTAGATAGATATTGTGAGGTGTCTACGGTGTATCTGCGTATTGGGTCACTGTATGGATTGCAGTTAGATTAGAACTTGCTCGTGGGTCTGACCCACTCCTTTATTATTCTTTTCAGGTACAGGACGGTACCAGCCTTAGAGCTTGATCGTGCTTGTCGAGGACAGTCTCACTTTCATCGGATTACGTAGGACTTTCCCCGATGTTTCTAGTATTATCTATTTTTCAGTTTCAGTCTCAGTTGAATTTTTAGTTAGGGGTCCATCAGTGGATTCCCAAGTTGTAACTTTGAAGTTTTGGAGGATTGGAGTTTTAAATTTTCAGTTACACATGGAGGATTTTATTATTATTATTTCTTTCAGTTTTATTCTATCTTTATTGGTTTTTGTCATCTGTGTTCGTTTTAAAATACTTTAATTGTTTGATATTCCCTCGGGTTTGGGCCTGGGTCTGATAAACCCGTGTCTCAGATCCGAGGGGTATCACAGTGCATATAATGCATATGATCCATAAATGATGCAACACTTAAAATAGTACATCAAATAAAATCCACATAATCCATATAGTTGATAGAAACAGAATTTAAATGGTTCATCAACCAAAATCCAGAATAACATCCCTGTAATTGATAGAACAGTATTTAATGGTTCATCAATTAAAGTCCAGAATAATATCCATGTAATTGATATAATAGTATTTAATGGTTCATCAATTAACATCCAAAACATTAATCCATGTAATTGACATAACAAAGTTTAATAGTTCAGCAACTAGAACCCAAAACATTAATCCATGTAATTTGATAGAACAAAGTTTAATAATTCAGCAATTAGAATCCAGAGTAAGCATAGACCAAGTCTAATAAGTTAATGACCCTTTTGAGCATCCAAAACAAGTTTATAATCATGCTATAGTCCTTCAAATTGCCAAAACAAAATTAAGCAATTACATCCCTTCTATCTGTTAACAGCATGCAAAGGTGTTTACTTTCCTACTATTCAATCCATTAGCATAAAGGTATAAATTATGCCATATGAGGTTTTAATATTACATGATTCTAGTATTTAGAACCCCCCAGTAAAGTCCCAAAACAATTCGGAAAGAACAAATCGTCCAAACCGTGCCCAAAAAAATTCTAGAATGTGGTAACATAAGAGAGTCTGCTCTCAAAACTTAAGAACAGGCTCTGTCCAAGCATGGAGCCGACTCTATGCACCTTGGAGCCGGCTCTAGAGGAGTGGGAGCCAGCTCTCTAACCCCTAGAGCCAGCTCTGCACTTGAGGGAGCCGGCTCCCTCTTCCATGGAGCCGGCTCTCTCCCTCTCTGAGAGCCCTGAACCGTTTTCCTTCGTTTGCTCGTCTCCTGCCGCTTCCAACCCTTCTGTTCCTCATTAATATTGAACTTAAGAGTCTAAAATACATCCAGTATCATCCCAGTCATTTATTTAAAACAGTTTGATTTAAAAAGAACAATAAAAATAACTACCGATTCAACATGCTTTAAGATCAAACAATGAAATTCAAGTTCGGTGATTACTATTCCAGATCAAATTAAACACATACAGATGATTAATTTAACATATACTAAGCATGCAAGATCCATTTAATATCTGATTAAAATCGTAGAGATCATCTAGGCATGCACAGAACACATGTCAAGGGGAGAGAGACAGAATAAAACTTGCCTGTGAGATTTTGAATCAAAACTTCGTCGCCGTCTTCTTAAGTTTTCCGACGACGTCCGTTCACTGTCAACCTTCTACTGCTCAACCTTCCCTCCTCCTAGGTCCGTCATTTAATCCATGGCTGAAACCCTAACTGATAACTCTCTGTTTTTCTCACAATTCCCTCTTTGTTTCTCTCTATATCTCTGTACGTGAATAGGGTTCTACAACCCCTTTGCAGACTTATAACAGTATATATATAGAAAAATACAAAACCTAAGTCTACTTATACTTAGAGACGAAAAATCTAATTAACTCCTAGTCGGCCAATACGTGAGTCATAAAAGATTAAAATCCTAATTTCACATTAAAATTAATAATACTAATTTAATCCAATTAACTCATTTAAATAAACTAATAAACCATTTAAACAATTAAAACTAATTGAATCCGTTTTTAAAAAAATAAAAATATAATTAAATAAACAATTAAACAAACAATTCAATTAAATAAAATAATTAATCAATTAATTAAAATAAACAGGCAAATAAACAAATAAAAATGCAATAAAATAATTATTAAAATTACGACACTATCCTTTTAAAATTAGGGGTATTACATTGTGGGTCTGAAGATGATGAAGTTGCATCTACATACCAAGATTTTGATCCTCAAAGAGACTTGAAAATTGTAGAACTTGCAGTGGGCCAGAAAATTACAACATTTGCTGAATTCAGAATGGCTTTAAGACTTTATGCAGTGACAAAGAAATTTGACGTGAAGTTCAAAAAAATTGAGAAAAAACTACTCACTGCCATATGTAGCCAAAGTTTTGGGTGGAGAATACGTGTATCTCAAACTCAAAGTGAGAGTTGTTTGAGCATAAAAACATTTATTAAGGACCACAACTGTACTGCAGTTCAAACAAATCATCTTGCAACATCAACTTACATTGCAAACAGGTATACGAAGGCAATTAAAGAGAATCCAAATTGGGAATTTAGTTCAAGGAGACAAACTGTAACAAGGGAACTCGTAATTGATATCTCCATGCAGAAGATTTATAGGTCAAAAGGAAGAGCAAAAGAGATGGTTGAGGGGAACCATGGAGAACAATATTTAAATCTTAGAAAGTATTGCCAATTGATTCAAGAAACCAACCCAGGTTTAGTTGCTAAGATTAGTAATTACCTTAGTGAGATCGAACCCAGAAGATTCAAAAGACTGTTTTTATCTTATGAGGCCATATATAGAAATATTAGGGAATGGTGTAGGCCATTCATTGGTGTTAATGGAACTTTTTTGAAAGAGTTTTATGGTGGACATTTGCTTAGTGCAATTGGGATTGATGGGAACAATAAGATGTTCCCTTTGGCTATTGCTATTGTTGAGGTTGAGAATAGGGACTCATGGTCATGGTTCATGGAAGAATTGATGGGGATTGTTGGTCCCCACGTGGTTTGACATTTATATCTGATCGACAAAAGGTAAAAAAATTTAATTATTATTTTAACTGAAAAAGTAAATTATATATCTAATTGCTAATTAACTTGTTTTATTTATTTTAGGGTTTACTTCAAACCTTTGAGGATGTATTGCAAAAAGCTGACCACAGATTTTATGTTCAACATATGTATGAAAACTTCAAGCAAAAATTTAGGGGATTGCAATTGAAGACTGAGTTATGGAATGTTGCTAAAGCTTATAATGAGCTTGACTTTAAGAAACATATGTAAAACATAAAGGATATAAATAGTGATGCCTATGATTGGCTTGTGAAGGTGGCATTCCATCTTTGGGCAAGGGCACATTTCCCAACCATTTCAAAGTATGATTTAGTAATTAACAATATGTGTGAATCTTGGAATTCTGTCATTCTAAAGGCATGGGAGAAGCCTGTGATAACCATGTTGGAGTGGATTCGAAAACATTTAATGAGGAGATTTTATAAGAAAAGAGATGGTATGTCATTATACAATGGATTCGTGTGTCCTGAGATACAACAGGTGTTGGATAAATATAAGAATGCATCACTGGAGTGTACTGTTGATTATAATGGGGGGTGTAGGTATGAGGTTGAATTTAAGGGTAATAATGAGGATGTGAACATGAATTTGGAAACATGCAGTTGTAAGGAGTGGGATGTGATTGGTATTCCTTGCCAGCATGCTGTTGCTACCATACTTTTTAGAAGGGAACAACCTAAGATGCATGTTGCTGGTTATTATCTTAGTCTGTCATACCTTAAGACATATGGCCCTATTATATATCCTATACCCCTAAAGATGATGATCAAATATACCACTGATGTTATCCTTCCACCCCTAAACCCTAAACCTCCTGGAAGGCCTAAGAAGGCTAGAAAGAAAGCAAGTGATGAAGTTATAAGACCAACCAAACTGAGAAAATCATATGTGGACTTAAAATGCACTAAGTGCTTACAACCTAGACATAATGCAAAGGACATGTAAGGCAATTGAACCTGTTGTTAAAGAAAGCATCCAAGAGGTAAAGGAGGTAGACCTCCTTTGATTAAACCTACTTTTCTTGGTGTGGGGTATGTTGAGCTCAGTCAGGTGAGACAAAGTGTTAAGATATTTACTTCAGTTTATCGAACTATTTTTTTTTTACTTCAGTTTACCTAACAATTTTAACTTGCATGGTAGGTTAACAGATAAAAAGCTGCAACTTTAGTCAGGTCAAGAGGAAGATCAGCAGTTGCATCAGGTGGTGCGAGTAACAAAGGAATAGGCAGAGGAAGAAGAGGTCCAAACACTCAAGCTTCAAACATTCCATCTGTGAACTCTCAAACTTTAGTTGGAGGTTCAGTTATGGTAAGTGTTACGGGGCTTGCTGAGCTCAGTGTAGTGAGACCCTTTATTAAGTTATTTACTTTAGTTTACCTTTTTTTGTTTCTTTGTATATTTACTTCGTTTACCTAACATTTTTAACTTTATATGGTAGGTGAGTAACAAGGAAAGAGTTGCAACTTTAGTTAGATCAAAAGGAAGGTCTGAAGCTTCAATCAAATCAAGAGAAAGATCTGCAGTAGCAGTTGCATCAAGTGGTGTGGGGCATACACAACTCAGTTTGGTGTGTTGTTCATTTTGTTTAAATTAATATTCAATAGCTTCAGCTGCATTAATAATAATGCTGATTTCTTGCATCATATGGTAGGTGAGTAATAGAGGAAGAGGAGGTTCAAACACTCCAGCTTCAGTTGGAAGTTCAAAGATTGCATCTTTAGTTGGAGTTGGAGGTGCAAACACTTAAGCTTCAACTGGAACACTTAGGAGAGGTTCAGTTGCTAATTCATTAGCAGTAAGAACTGGTTTGGCTGGAAGAATAGTTGAAACAAGAGGTCCTACTAGTATTGGAACAAGAGGTGGTCTACTCGAGGTACTTCCATAAACATAAAAGAAGTGATTTTGATTTATAATGTCCTACAACCAAATTTATATTTTTCATATTTCATGTGTAGGTGAGAGTTACTTCAACATAACCCACTCATGGTAGTGGCTTTGAGATACCTCCATCAACACAAAACACTCAAGCATCATCTTTAAGGTATATGAGTGTCATCAGTAGACACGGTGATAAAATACATGTGTTATTAAATAATATAGGCGTTGCATTGTTTGAGGCTTATTTAACTTTATTTTTTCATTTGGCAGGAAGTGATTATATTGAGGCTTCATTTAGCAGTTAGTGAACATGTGCTTTTGGTCATCGATTATGTTGCTGGAGATGTGTTTTGGTGGTTTTGGTCGTGTGTATTTTGGGAGTATGTGTTTTTGCTAGTGGTTTTGCTCGTGTGTGCCTTGAACATGTATTTTTGTTGGTAAAACAGTTGCTGATGTGTCAAGAATGTTGTGGATATAGATAAAAAATTATTTTGGCAAGACTGTTGGTGGTGTCTTCGTGGTGACTCTAGTACCTACCATGGAGGAACAAATCTTGGCAGGACTACTGGTGGTCTCTTCATTGCTATTAGGTCGTGGTTATTACCGATGATTTCCGCAACGGCGGAGGAGATTTGGGCCGACGACCGTCTCCTTTTTGCATTGCGGCACCTTTTTATCCTAGAAGCTATTAATCAACTTCTCTTCTATTCTCTCATTTTCTCTCTCTCTCTACCTTTTCAGACTTGTTCCTTTCTTTGAATTGTTCCAATTAAAGACTTATATAGGCAAAATAACAAATCCTAATGCAACTCTGTAAAGCAAAAAAAAAGTGAAATCCTAATAAAACAAGGACAACCTAAAAATAAAATAAAATAAATTATATATAACTCGAAACACAATAAATAATTATTATTTCAATATCTAAGATAAGATTTAGTTGATGACGCAAACATGAAATTTACTATGAATTTAGTTAAGAGAGAAAAAAAATATAGTAATAATTTCTACTTATGTTTGGATAGATAGGAAAGAAGAGAAGAGAAGAGGAGGAAAAAAGAAGAAGAAGAAGAAGAAGATAGCCATTATAGTTTGGATAAGTTAAAAGAAAAAAAAAGAGAGGATAATAATCAAATTACTATCCTACCCTTTTATATAACTAGGACTTGAATGTAATAACAAATCTATATATTTATTTGTGGAGGTAAGTTTTGGCATTATAAAAATACCACTAAATCACTATGTTAAATAGGGTAATAACCAAATTACTATCCTACCCTTTTATATAAAAGGGACTTGAATGGAATAACAAATTTATATATTTATTTGTGGAGGATAGTTTTGGTATTATTAAAAAACCACTATGTTTTCTCTCCTTATCTTCTCAATTTTGGAGAGATAACAAATGAGGGATAGGGATGGCTCCATATCCTCACTTTTCACCCAAACACAATTGACCCCTATCTTTTCTTTTCTTTTCTCTCCCTACCCCTCCAACTTATCCCATCCAAACATACTCGCATCTGTGGAGAAAAGATTGCCAGCGAAGCTAATCGGAATAAATAATCAAAAAGTATAAAAACCGCACTGAAATCCTAATAAAACTCTGTAAAACGAAAAGAAAAACTAAAATCCTAATAAAACACTGACAACCTAAATGTGGAATTTAGTCGGATACCACATTTTAAATGTTATTTAAAAAATAGTAAAGTACAAACACCCCAACTTTACTTTCTCTCCCAATAACCCTCCTGAACTTTTTTTTTTATTTTTTATTTTATTTACAGAAAATCCCTAAACTATCTCCTTTTTTCATATGTATGAAGTGTAATGTTCCTGCAAAATAATCCCCATGCACAACGAATCCAGTTGCGAGTCCCGCCTGGGGCCTCTCGGCCCGAGAAACGAAAAAATGCCGCAAGGGCAACTAATGCATTTCCAAAAGTCCTGAACTTAAAGAAATGCCTTACTCAACTCTCGGAACACACCCGACATACCTTTCAGTGTCTGACACACAAAACGAGACAAAATGAAAATAATCTTAAAAATTTGAAAAAATCCCAAAAATTAGAAAATTGGAAACATTACAACTAAGTCCCATAAACATCCAAAAACAAATCTACATCAATTTAACATGTAAAAATCCAGTTAAAGTAGATCTAAGCATCAATTTTCCAACTAATACATCAAGAACAAAATATGAACATATAGTCATAAAACCTATTTTCTAGATCAATTTAAATACGGATTCTAATTTTATTAATTCTTTAAACATCTCTAAAGTTATACTAGAGCCATACAGATCACAAATCTAAAGAAAAAGTGTAGAACAAAGGACTTGCCTTAAGCTTTTGGATCAAAAGTTACTTCCTCTTCCTTGTTCTTCTTTTATTTTTCTTTCTCTCTCTCTCCTTCTTGCGCCTCTCTCTCTCTCTCTTTCTCTTTTTCTCCTTCTAGATCTAGAATTATATACATATATGTATAAATATACCTTATAGATAATCTAGGCCTAACCTACATCGGACAATTTAACATAACTAATGAATATAATATAACATTATTTTTAATACAACAATATAATATATATATATATACACACACACACACACTTATATCTATGAGTCACTATCCAACCCATTTAGGATCTCTTCCAAATAGTCCAAGACCCATCTAGTTGGCCCAAAGACTACACGCCCAACCTATCTCCTTTTAAAATAAAATAAAAATAAAACAGCCCATTTAACTAAACAATTAAACACATAGACACATCACACATGAAATTAATTTTAAAAAATGCACATACAGATTAAACAAATCAATTAATTTAAATTAACACAATTAAACAAAACAATTAATTAAATAAACACCCAATTAAATATAAACAAATAATCAAATAGCCACATAATTAAATAAAAATGCAATTAAAATAATTTAAATAACTCTCTAGAAATTAGAGGTATTACATATTGTTGAGCTAGGGTGTGTGTGTAGAGAGTGAGAAAGCAGTGTTTCAACTTTTACAAGGGTGTGTGCAGAGCGTGAGACAACTGAGTGTGTATCTTG